CACAGATTTAAAGCTGTTCGATGGACCGAGCATGTTGAACATTTCTTACGTCATTCCTATGAACTCGGTTCGCAAAGAAAGGACGTTCACAGACCTGGTAATGTTGATACTGTCTACAACCTCACACATGTATGCAGTTGAATCTTCATTGCGCGTCTGATACAGACCTTCCTTAGTCGAATACTGCAAAAATCAAAAATGGTTTTTGCACTGTATGATTTTCAGGAGCTTATGGATTAGATTATATGGATAGAACTATGAGCGTACGCTGCGAGTAGCCGAACTGTCGATCTGGCGATCGAACGACTTTTGTTTGCTCATGCTTACGGGGTCACTGTGAATGAGTAGCGTCAGTATGGCGGAAATACTTGCAGAATGTCAAATGAATTATATTTCGACGCTTACAGGGAACACATAACAATTAAGCGGTTATTTCGGTTATTTTGCAAACTATATCCGCGAATAGGTGAACGTCAAGAGAAGTGACGAACGACATCATTTTCAGCAATGAGTCGAGTGGCTCCGAACAAACGTCATGATGGCACTCGATGGCCAGGAACAAATCAGGAACAAGTGCTTGTGAAGGATCTGGTAGGCCTGAAATACTCACGAGAAGGTAAACACGTCAACAGAACAAAACACTGTTCGCGGCGTACCGTTTGTCTCTGAAGAAAATCGATTTAAACATACGCTTAAACTCCTGATTCAGAAAGCCATAAATCACCGGGTTGATCCACAGGGACATAGTGGTAATGAGCTTGAAGGTCTCATCGAGGCGAATGATAGTTTGCACGGTTTCGTTCTTCCACGCTGATTGGCGCAGGTGGATGAACAGACTGAGAATTTCGAACGGCAACCACACCAACGCGTAGATGCCGGCCATCGCACACAGCAACACCGTAGCCCTGTTCCTCCTGGCCTGCCGAATCGCCTTCATTTCTCGTTGTCTCTGCATCTTCGATTCGGCCTCCATCGATTTGAACCTACGCCTCTCCATGAGGGTCAGGAAGCGGGTGAGGCGAAAGTTGTAGATGGTCAACACAAACAGCGGCAGGAAGTAAAGGAAAATCGCCTGCAGAGAACTGACCATGATTTCGGTATTGCGAATGCAGTTACGTTCCTCTTGTTCCGAGTACGACTCGTTGAAACAGAACGACGGCCGCAGCGTACACGTGCTGAACAGTACCACTTCCTCAGACTTGTTGTACATCTTCGCTAGTTGCATCGGGAACACGACCGAGTCCACGTCGTAACTGATGAGGTAAGGCAACGACAGCGCGAACGAGACGACCCATATACCGATGGCGACGAACGTCGCCTTCAGATTCTGACAGGAACGCGTTTGCGACACTTGGTGAGACGTGGTCACCACTCGGTACCGGTCGACGGCCATGACGACGATGGTCAGCGTCGAACAGTAGATGTTGCTGCCCGGCAGCGCGTTCGTGAACTTGCACAGGAAGACGCTGTGCTCGAAGCTTCCCTGGTAGACCGGCATCCACAGGAACGGGATGTACAAGGCGGCTAATATGAAGTTAGCCACGGCCAGGTTGATGGTGAACACTTCTCGCGGACAACAGTGTTTCTTCGATCGCCAGATCACGTATATCACCAGGCCGTTGGCGATGATGCCGACGCTGCAGAGCACGGAGTACGCGACGGTGAAAATCACCACTTCGGCGTCGGTGAAGTTATGAAGGCGCGCCTCCTCTTGAATACATCTTTTCCAGAAGTTGTCGTCCGAACTGTTCACTCGCACGAAACATCGGTCGGCCATCATGGGCTGCCTTGAGTGTAATTTCCTCCTTGTTTCACTTTTCACGTCGTCCAACCAAAACGATCAACATCGCTCTATCTAAAAAGGCACAAACGACTAAAGCAATATTTAGTATGGTTTGACTGATGACATTTGATGGCCAATTAATGAAAGAGGTCCATTAACCAGGTCCATGAACTGTTGATTCGAGGGAAGACACAATTACATTGCTGGATCATTGATCTTTGTTTGCTTGACACCGATGATTACCAATATCCCTCCAACTTTCGCCGGTCCATTAATTTCGAATATCGGTAAGAGAATGTAAAAGGGAGGAAAAGTTTTAATCTTTGGAATATCGGTCTCCACCCACTTTCATGATGGAGACATTCAGGCTCCTTTATTTCAGAAAATTTATAATGCTACACCGCGTTTCATTTCCCTCGCCATCACTGTCTAATTTTAATGGGCAGAGGCGACAACAGTTGTGTGACATGCAAGGTGTGTAGTCTCCTGTCCTCTTCTCACCGAGTGGTACTCATTTATCAATCTCGGAGGAAAGAAAGCGAGTAACCAGAACCACGGTTCGATCCGGGTTATCAGAGGCCAGGGTTACTAAGCCGATGGATAGTCAGTCGATGAAAAGAGAGAATCAGGGTTCGAGTCATTTGCCTTTCTTCCTTCAAAGAAAAAATCAGCGAATGGAGATATAACCATGGCTAAAATATTTCAGAACCGAATTTTTAAACTCAGTAAACTTTCCGGACTCATATTTTCTAAAGGTTGTGCATACCAGGACAGAAGACAATTCACACTAAATTAAACATGAACTCATTTCTGCGTGTGACTATACAGCAGAAACTAGTATCAAGTGCGAAAGTCTGATATAAAAATCACAGCAAAAATACAGTTTTTTAGCCATGTATGGTGAAGCGACGATTATTAGGTGGATATGGATATTTTTGATATATTTTTCCTGAAAAGATCATGGAACGAGAAGCAACCGGGACAAGAAGAGCGATATGGTCAGTGATTGGAAAATAACAACAATGAGAGAGTCAGTGTAAACAGGTACAGGGGAGGTACCGGCACAGAACAGTAACTGGGATGTGGACAGTGTCACTAACAAGTGAAACTAGAGCGATAGAGAGTGGTACAGCATCAGCGACAGACACATGAGTCAACACGGGAGTAAGGCTAAATACGGGGACATTGGATAGGAATATCAGTAAGAGCAGTGATTGACTGAACAAATAGGAAATGTGTTATGGATATTTCCAAGACATAGAGAACAACTGGTCAAACAATACCAACAAAGAAGTAGCAAAGTTTTATAAAAACAAGTCACTGTATAGCCCTGCTTAAAAAGTCAAATAAGTGACATATTTTAAGTTAGATCAAAGTGATATTTCAAATTTAAATTTCAATTTCCCTCCTTTCACCAGCGAACCTGGAATTTGTGTGGGAGCCGGCTCCGGTAGGTCGAAATGGTAATGTTGCCCATCACTGGCCAACAAGTCTTTCCCCTGCTAAAGTTTTGAATGGAGATCACTGGCAACAATTCACGATGGTTGGCATTCAGAATGAACTGGTAAACGATTAGTCGCCAAGGAATTGGAAACCTTAAAAAAGGCCAACACCACCTAGTCACCATGAGCAACACCTACGATTCTGTAGAACACAGACCGTGAGTGATAAGTGAACTCGGAACATCATCACGATTATCCTTCTCACCAATGCAGTTAACAAGGTTTATCAGCGCTTGAATAAACTGAGGCAGAATCTGTCACTTATGGGCAATTCGTAGGTGGATCGTTACTCAGATTCTCGGAGATC